AATGTAAAGATGGATATTATATAAATGGGAAACGTTGTGGTGTTTGTTCTTATTCATGTTCGACATGTGACGGACCCAATGCTGACAATTGTTTGTCATGCAAAGTGGGTAAATATCTCGTTGGTAAAACTTGTGAAAATTGTGATGAAAATTGTGAGTCAACTGAATTTTGTAGCTCTCAAAATGGGTGCACCAAATGTAAAGTTGGGTATTACCCAGATAATAAAAAATGTTTCCAATGTAGCACAATTCGAAACTGTCTCGAGTGCAGCCAAACTGAAAAGAAGTGTACAAAATGTATGACAGAATTCGAATACAAAAATGGGTTATGTCAATGCAAAGATTCGATGTACCAAGTTTCTGAGACAAAATGTGATTTCTGTTTTAATAAGATAAGCAATTGTCAGTCTTGTGAATCTACAACTGGATTTGATGAAAAGTGTGATTATTGTTTTGCTCCAACTGTTCTCACACTAAAAAACACCTGTGTTTTATGTGAACAAAAACGTTATTATCAAGGTGGTGAATGTGTCAGGAATGATGACGGATGTTCAAATCAAATAATGAGAAGAGATTGTTTGAAATGCGAAAAAGACAATTACTTACTAAAAGGGATTTGTATTAAAAAGGTGGAAATTCCTTCACAAAAATGCATGAAAGAGTCTTTAAAAACATGTGAAGATTGTGGTGTTGGTATCACTACAAATGGTAGTTGTGTGCCATTGCCTCCAGGTGTAAAATATTATATAAATGATACCACTCTTGAGTGTACTGATAATTTTGAAAATTACGAAAACGAGTGTGTAGCAATAGAATCTATTGGAACTAAATTCAGAAATGGGAAGTATTATTTATGTGGAGAAAGACAACGACTTAATAATGAAAATACGTGTGCTGCTTGTCAAGATAATTCATTACAATGTTCATTTTCTGAAAACAAAGAAAGGATACTGAAATGCAATGAAAAATATTCGATTGATTATTTTAATGAGACTTGCTTCATTGATGTAAATTGTAAACAATTGATAAATGGTGTTTGTGTAAAATGCGAAGGACCGATTTCAAAAAACAGATGCTCGAAATGTGAATCGATTGAATATTGTAAAGTGATGGAACGGGATTGTAAATGTGATGTATGTGACAAGGACAAACTTCTAACCAAAAATAGTTGTATTCCAAAAGATAATAAAAATTGTAAAATTTCAAATGGACGTGGTTGCACAAAATGTGAAAATAGGTATTTTCGAAGTGGTTCGCCTGAGACATTTTGCAAGAAAGAAAACGAAACAATATTATATGCCAAACATGACACAGATGAAAATTACACAATTATGGAGTGTATGAATGGGTACTACTTATCTGGCGAAAATACATGTAAAGTTATGCCAAAAAATATTTCACCCATTTTGATGTCAAATTTATATAATTTTAAAGAAAAGGGATACCAAGTTAAGTATCTACATGAAGAAGATCATTGCGAAACAAAAAATCAAAAGGGGTGCTTGGAGTGCAGTTACGGCTATTTCCTTAAAAATTATAAGTGTCTTAGTTGTCCTCAAAATTGCACAACTTGCTACAGTGAAACGATCTGTCTGTCATGTATAAAAAACAATTATTTGACCAAAAAGGATGTCTGTGAAGATTCTGCTAAGCTTGGATCAAAATGTGACATTCCGATACCCGGGTATATTGGTTGTGCTATTTGTAAGGATGGATTTTTTAAATTGCGATTGGACTGTGAATTCTGTGACAAGTCGTGTAAGCAATGCCACAACAACCATACGTGCATTTCTTGTGCTGATAATTATTACAGCATCCCAACTGAATCATCATTATGTCAACCCTATTCATCTCTTCTTCATTGCGCAGAAAAGACACAACTTGGATGTGCTGTATGTGATGATGGTTATTACCTGAGAACAGTTGTTCCAAGATGCACAAAATGTCCACAAGGATGCTCGTTATGTTCTTCGAATGACACGTGTCAGGCGTGTAAAGATGATTATGTTTTAATCAATGAAAAATGCAACAATATTTTTGAAATTAGTTTCTGTAAAGCTGCCAAAAACTCGGTTTGTACTTCATGTGAAGGTCTTAGAAAGCCGAATGAAATTGGTACCAGGTGTATTGAAATCAACAAGGCGTTATTTATCTCACTCTTGACGATAGGATTGGTCATTTTTGTCTCAATAATAATTGCGATCATTGGACTTGTAATTGCCTTTATTATGTTTAAAAGAAAAGAAAAGAAAAAAATGAAGAACATCTGTATTTTCGATATGGATGAATCCAATGTCAATTTCACTAACTTAAGCAAAAAGGTTTCAACTAATAAGCCTGTTTTGCATTTTGAAAATCAGTACAGTGGAGGAAAAATTGAGGTTGGCAATGAGTCAAAAGAGCTTATTTGTATAGGTAACATGACGCGTCATCGAATTAAAATCCAAATGAAAGTGAAAGAAAATACAGAAAAGTATACTCTTAAAATTGTCCCTCAAGTAATATCTCTGAAACGTGGAGAAGCTTGTGAATTTGAAGTCTTTTTACTACCAAATTACACATGTAACATTGAAGACAAAATTGCATGTGTTTGTTTGGATTTCCGTGAAGGAAAAGAGGAGGTCAATTTTATCAAATTGATGGCCTCAACTGAATCTTCATGTCGACTTGATTATGATGAATTGGATATTCAGAAGAAACTTGGGGAAGGATCCTTTGGTATTGTTTTCAAAGGTACTTACAGAGGGAACGATGTGGCAATTAAGAAGATGAAAGCGATGGATGTTGACCAAGTCCACAAATTGGATGAATTTGAAAAGGAAGTTGCGATGTTAGAGAAGTTCAAGTGTGAATATATCGTTCATTTTTATGGAGCTTGTTTCATACCAGGGAGAGTATGTATGGTTACTGAATTCGCGCCATTTGGTTCTTTACAAGATGTTATCAGCAAGAAATCAAATAAAGAGTTGGAACAATACGAGAAGGTCAAAATCATGATAGATGCAGCAAGAGGTATATTATATTTACACTCCAATGGCATTTTGCATAGAGATATCAAACCAGACAACATATTGGTATTTTCACTCAACTTTAATGCAAATTTCCCATCAAAACTGACTGACTTTGGCTCATCAAGAAATATTAATATGATGATGACTAATATGACATTTACGAAAGGTATTGGAACACCAACATATATGGCACCTGAGATTTTGAAACTTGAAAAGTACACCATGTCAAGTGATATCTTCTCTTTTGGAATAACGATGTACGAGTGCTTTGGGTGGTGTGAGGCTTATCCAAAAAACACATTCAAGTTTCCATGGAAAATAGCCGAGTTTGTAACAACAGGAGAACGACTGCCCATCAAAGATAATATGAGTCAAGAAATGTATGAAATCATTACAAAATGTTGGGAACAAAAATCGCTGGATAGAATCGAGTGTGGAGAGGTTGTTGAAATGTTGGTAAATCTTCAACGTAATTCGTGATTATTTTCATTGGATTTTTGATGTTTCTAACAAAGTTAATTAAATAAAATAATATAATAAATATTACTATTTATTATAATATTATACTTCCTAATACTATTAATATAAACTAAATGAATAACAAAAACAGGTTATTATTCATACTTTTCAATTTGAACGGGTTCAGAGAAGCACAAATTATCAGTTTGGATAGAACTAGGCAACTTAATACTTTTCAACTCGACGCACTCTCCAAAACAGCCATTACCAATTGACTCCACTCCTTGTGGAATACTAATAGAAGTCAATTTGATGCATTTATAGAAACAATTTTCCCCAATCTTTTTAACGTTCTTTGGGATAACAAGACTCTCAAGCTCAACACAACTAGCAAAGCAATCCTTCCCAATCTCTTTTGTCTCCTCTTTAAGTACAACAACTTTTAAAGAAGAACACTCTGCAAATGTTGAGTCCTCTATTATGAAACAATACTTCGGCAAATCTACTTTGGTAAGAGCAGTACATCCTCTAAAGGAATATCCACCCAACTTAGTGAGAGAGTTTGGCAAGACAACCTCTCGAAGAGCTTCGCATCCTCTAAAGCAAGAAACACCAACTTCCTTAATAGAGTGTGAGATAGTGACGGCAGTGAGTGCAGCACAATCCCAAAACGAGCCGTATCTTATTGAAGTGACACGTGTGGGGATGTCTATTTTTGTGAGCCATTTGTACCCACCGTAACACAAATTTCCAATAGAATTGGTAGACTTAGGAAGTTGTGAACCATACTGTTGTCTATCTTCTTTGGTGTAAATAATGTCTGTATACACAGCATCAGGGAGGTCTTTAGTGGTCTTGAAAGAGACTTCGTAGTTGACAACAATTCGATTGAAAGTGTGAGTCTTTGGTGTAGATTCTGGGACGTTGTAATTACCAAAAGTGTTGTCTTGTGGAGTGTACAAATGTAAATCCTTCAAGTTAGTGAAGTAATGAATTGTTTTCTCTGTGAGAGGGACGGGGTTGGAAGTCAACTGACCCATCACATGACGGAACTTTTTACAGACAAGAGAAAGAGTACAAAGATCCTCAATAGTCTTGAAATGTCTGCACACAGCGCATAGATTTGCAGTAGAAAGAGCCATTAGATATTAAATAGAAAAGTGTCATTTTAGAGTTTAATTAATAGTGTCGGCCACTTTCTCGAACTTAAAAAGAAGCCATCGAATTTGTGAAAACAAAAAAGAAGTGTTGAGAAGTCACACAAAACAAAAAGAGTGTGTAAAAATCACTTATAGACGATTGAAGTGGTTTAGAAAGTGTTGTTTGTAAATCAAAGCATTTTCTTAAAAAGTTTTAGTGTTGTGTATCAAAACAGTACACTTGCAATATACCATAACTATTAATAAAAATACAATACATTTACTATACCATTTATTGAATAAATATATACTTTTTATCAAACGAATACTTGAATACAATGGTTTAACATATTACAATGTTTTTAGTGAATGAATTGATGATATTATTGATTAGTATTATGTATTTGATGAGATGAAAAGATTTGTGGACACTTTCACATACAACTTGATGTGAAGTTTTAATAAATTGGTTGATGGAGCTTAATTGAAATTGTTATGAAACTGTTTAAGAACTGTTAGACTGTTGTTAAAAAGTTAAGAATATTAAATATGATATTAAAATTTAATAATAAGAACTATTGATGAGAATTGGCGTTTCCTTATTCAATCTTTAAATAAAGATACAACAAAATTACTTGAACAACATGTCGTCAAGAGCTGTTTTCATATTGATACGATTCTCTGGTATTACAACGACCATTTTCTTTACAAGTGCTTTGGCCACTTCATCAAAATCTGGCATATCCCATTTCACATAAGCGTCTCTGTCAAACACACTGAAGAGTGGCAACCCACTAAACACCTCCAACTCCCCTGGAAAAGCCGAGTTCATCAGAGTTGTAATCTTTTTAGCAGAGTTTGCTGCAAACAGTGGAATTGTCCCAAAGAGTTCAGGGATAACACACCCGACACTCCACACATCTATTTCTGCTCCATACTTTGTTTGCCCAAATATCAGTTCAGGTGGTCGGTACCAAAGGGTGATGACTTCATTACATTGTGATCGATTTGGTATTGCGTTCTCCTTTGCGAGTCCAAAGTCACAGAGTTTGACTTCACACTTTTTAGTGATGAGAATGTTGTGTGGTTTGATATCTCTGTGGATAATACCCTTCTCGTGTAAGTATCCAACTGCAAGCAAAAGTTGATGTGTCATTTTAATTGCCATTTGTCTCGATAAGACTTTTTCCTTCAGGAACGCTCGCAAATCCGCAGTACAGAACTCGAGAATGACATATAACGCATCATTTACTATAACATCTAACACTTTTACTATATTCTCGTGGTTGATTGTCCGTAACAAACTTAACTCTCGCACAGCAGAGGCACTCATCCCACTCTCACCTATCCTCATCTGTTTGATTGCTACAACACTGTTGTCCGAGAGACGAATCGCTTTGTAAACAACACCATATGACCCTTCTCCAATGACCGCGATAGTTTTGTACATGTTTGCAATGAGCATTGTGACTATTGTATTACCAGTCTATCTCTTTTTATTCCCTTTGATTCATTCACTTTCTTGATTCGTCCATTTGTTGCGCGTATTAACAAACTTAAATCAATCGATTAGTTATTAAAATTTAATCATTAATGAACTATATTTTCCAGTATAATACTCCTTTTGCTTGACAAAATGAATTATGTGTGAGATTTGAGAAAATTTGCGCAAGAAAAGATATGGGGTGTACTTTTGAACCACAAATCAATAGAAATTAAACCTCTCAATTAAACACACAATGACATCATTCTACACCAACCAATTCTTTTGGCTTCTCAGTGGATAGACTTTCAACGGGGTGAGTCTCGACCTTTGGAAGACTTTCAATGACTTCTTTGTTCTTTTCGGAGTTGTTGTCGATGGGATGAGTCTCCTCATGAACTTCCTTTTCAATCTCCGCAAGTTCGTCGTCGACGTTCAAATCATTCTCTTTGTACATCGCTTCAAAGAGGGTGTCGATCTCCTTCAATTTTTGTTGGTTTTCTTTCCTCACCCCAACTATCTCTTCAACGCGTTCAA